ATACCGAAGTGCTTATGGTGGTTATATGCAGTAGTTACATCCAGAGACAGAGATGTATACGTTGGCTAGTAATTTGGACACAAGTATTGCTTTGATTCTGGTACGAGGGAGATATTGACAGCAGCTTTTTATCAGCTGATCTACTACTTCACACATCGTGTGCTAGAATGTATTTTGGTTCTGATATCAAGGTACTATTTATGGCAGTCAAATGCAGTAGTTAGATCCAGAAACAAAGTTGTCTATGCTGGTTGATAATTTGAACGCTTGAGACAGTTTTGACTGCAATATGAGTGGGAGATGTTCTAGCAGGTTTTCAACAGCTGATCAAGTACTCCCTGATCAAGTTCGCTCGTCATGTGTTTTGGTAGAACACTGGAATGTATTTTAGAGTTTAAATACTAAGAACTGTTTATGGTAGTCCCATTAGTTATGTCCAGAAAAAATATGTCTACTCAAGTACTCTTCAAATGCTGTTCAACAGCCACAAGTTGTCCTGGTGGAATACCGATACGCATCTTGTATGTTTGATAATGAAAAACAACTGTTTATGGCAGTCACTTGTATCAGTTAGATCGAAAAAGAAAGATATCTATGTTAGTTGTAATTTGAAAACTTGAAGTAGCTTTGATTCTGATACGAGTGGAGATATTGTTCTAGCAGATTTTGGATGAAGTACTCTTCAAGTGTTGTTCGATTGCTACAAGATGTTCTGGTACAGATATATATCTTTGATAGAAGTATGGTTGTGATTGGTTAAAGCAAAGTATTCCTTACATCACATGTACGTATATCTGTTATCAAAAATATATGTTCTCATGAGGGAATGATTACAGCGATCATATGTCGAAAGCAAGAAAAAAGTAGACATATATGGTACTTTTTTATAAAGATTAAAGAAGCATTGTTCGTTGAGGAAAATCTGTTGTGAAATTACTGGGTAAATCTTGATCCCAGAGGATAGGTGGATTTCAGGTTGCTTAGCGGTTCCTCGGGCGTAATCCTGTGTAGCGTATCGGTACAGAACACGTAGTACACTTCAGGGAATAAACAGAAGCCCATAGTTGTGACCCTACCGTGTACTTCGTGTATGCGAATGGTAAAGCTGTCCGTAGACCTTGACCTAGACCAGACCATTCTGCTTCATTACTTCAATCTATCTTCGCCCTTCAAAGAAATACCTGTTCTTTCTATTCCATAAACGTTCCACATTCTCAAATTCTTGAAATTCTTCTTCAAGGTATTTTGGATACTTATATTCGAGTATGCAAATAAAATGACGTGCATAAATCTTTGAAGTATTCAGAGAGTACTATTCAAAGGGGGTACAATTTAAAAATTGAAATACTTTGGGACAATTTTCAATTGCAGTTGACCTGGTCCTTGAAGGACTTTTATGAGAGGTCATTTTATTCGTGTTGAAACGCTATCAGATTGTAGATAAAATGTTCTATTTAAAGAAACATGGTTGACCTTCCTTCACGTCCTCGTCTATAGATATGTATAAGTTCATAGATATTAGAAGTAAAATGTCAAATATATCGAGGAGTATCGACATTTTGATGACCTTGTGTTAACACTTTCATACGGAGGATAATAAAAGGTATCGAAAGGTTTGATAAGAAAATTGGACTGCATCGAAGAATGAAGTGCAACCGCATTTAGCAAATGCATCGATAAAATAAAATACAAAGTCACAATTACGATGTACTTTATATAATTGTCTTTGATTCTTCATATACAAGGTCATAGGCAGTTAGGATGTACTTCATATCATTCTCTTTGATTCTTCATATATAAGGTCACAATTAGAATGTACTTCATATGATTCTCTTTGATTCTTGATATACAAGATCATAGGCAGTTAGGATGTACTTCATATGATTCTCATTGATTGTTCATATAGAAGGTCACAGTTAGGATGTACTTTATATGATTCTCTTTTATTATTCATATACAAGATCACATGCAGTTAGGATGCACTTCATATGATTCTCTTTGATTCTTCATATACAAGGTCACAGTTAGGATGTACTTCATCTGATTCTTTTTGATTATTCATATACAAGGTCACAGGCAGTTAGGATGTACTTCATATGATTCTCTTTGATTGTTCATATACAATGTCATAGTTAGAATGTACTTCGTATGATTCTCTTTGATTGTTCATATACAAGGTCACAGTTAGGATGTACTTCATCTGATTCTTTTTGATTGTTCATATACAAGGTCATAGGCAGTTAGGATGTACTTCATATGATTCTCTTTGATTCTTCATATACAATGTCATAGTTAGAATGTACTTCATGTGATTCTCTTTGATTGTCCATATACAAAGTCACAGCTAGGATGTACTTCACATGATTCCCTTTGATTGTTCATATAGAATGTCATAGTTAGAATGTACTTCGTACGATTCTCTTTGATTGTTCATATACAATGTCACAGTTAGGATGAACTTCATCTGATTCTCTTTGATTGTTCATACACAAGGTCACAGGCAGTTAGGATGTATTTTATGATTCTTTTTGATTGTTCATATACAAGGTCACATTTAGGATGTACTTCATATGATTCTTTTTGATTGTTCACATACAAGGTCACATGCAGTTAGAATATACTACATGCTTCTCTATCATTATTCATATTTATCCCGAAGAAATAGTAACCCAATTCCCAGAACAATCTTGTAAACGATAGAAGGCGTCTGTAGCACCGGTAAAACGTCCCGTTGCAAGGGTGTCCCCGTAAACACGTATCTCGACAGTAATGGAGCAGTAAATTTTCTCCGGTTGGCCCGGTTCGGGGAACGCGGGGTTGTCCGACCTTGGTGGTAGCCGATAACCGGACAAGTAGCAGACGTGGAAGCTCTATGGAACACTGGTACTTTTACACACACGGATTATCCCCGCACGTGTTCGGATCGGCAACGGATCGTCGAGAAACACGCGGCGTGTTCGCAGACTGGTTTGCCCAGTAACCTCGCGCAAGAGGATCCCGAGATACACGTCGAGAAACGAACGCGGAGAACCGCATTCCTGTCGCCTTTTCTGCTCCTCTCGACTTTCCTCTTCCTCTTGGCTCTCGTTGAAAGCGAGAGGAACATCGGGATCAAGACGTCTTCGCGGTTCACCGGCTGTGCGCCGTCGCCTTTTTGCTCCGAGCTGGATCGAATGTCGCTCGGATCATCCGCCGTGCTTACTTCCTTTTAACACTGACACAATTTCGAGAATACCAACCTCGATTCGTGCTCGTTGCCGGGAATTCGCTGTGCTATTATTCGAATTTTCAAGGACGGTTGACAAGTGTCGAATCGGATTCGATTCGTGATTGGGAGATTGTTAAAGACCAATTTGTTATGGGTGGTATTCTGGGAATTTTTAGAACTTTTAGAAGGTCAAATACAGAGGTCAAATTTACGGAGTTATTTTAGACTTCTTTTGGATGAAAATACATATGTTGAATTTCTAAATTTTTGTTTTTCAAGTTTCCGAATTTCTAATTCCCTAAATTACAAAATATCAAAATTTTCCAGCCTTGAAATTTCTAGACTAATATCCCTAGATTCACAAGTCCCTAGATCCCAATGTTCTCGAATACCGAAGTTACCAAATTTCTGTTACTAAATCCCTAGATCCCAAAATTCCTATATCTCAAGAATTGCTAGCTCCACAAATCCCTAGACTGCCAAATCCTCAGATCCCAAAATTTCCTCATTGCAAAATTTCCAAATTGCAAAATTCGTAGATACCTAAATTTTTAGACTAAGAAATCCCTAGATTACCAAATTGCTAAATTATCATATCCCTAGATCACTAAATGTCTAAAATTCCAAATCCCTAGATTCCCAAATTTCTCTTCCGGAAAATTCCTAGATTACCAAATTTTTAGAGCGGAAATCCCTAGATCACCAAATATCTCAAATTCCAAATTTCTAGATTCCTAAATTTCTCTACTAGAAAATCCCTAGACTATCAAATCTCTAGATCGTAAAATCCCTAGATCAGCAAAAGTCTCAAATTCCAAATTCCTAGATTCCCTAATTTCTAGGTCGTCAAATCCCTGGATCCCCAAATTTCGAAAATGCCAATTCCCTAGATTCTTAAATTTCTAGACCATAAAATTCCTAGATCACCAAATGTCTAAAATTCAAAATTTCTAGATTCCTAAATTTCTCTACTGGAAAATCCCTAGACTATCAAATCTCTAGATCGTAAAATCCCTAGATCAGCAAAAGTCTCAAATTCCAAATCCCTGGATCCCCAAATTTCGAAAATGCCAATTTCCTAGATTCCAAAATTTCTAGACCAGAAAATCCCTAGATCACCAAATGTCTAAAATTCAAAATTTCTAGATTCCTAAATTTCTCTACTGGAAAATCCCTAGACTATCAAATCTCTAGATCGTAAAATCCCTAGATCAGCAGAAGTCTCAAATTCCAAATCCCTGGATCCCCAAATTTCGAAAATGCCAATTTCCTAGATTCCCAAATTTCTAGACCAGAAAATCCCTAGATTACAAAATGTATAAAATTCAAAATTTCTAGTTTCCTAAATTTCTCTACTGGAAAATCCCTAGACTATCAAATCTCTAGATCGTAAAATCCCTAGATCAGCAAAAGTCTCAAATTCCAAATCCCTAGATTCCCTAATTTCTAGGTCGTCAAATTCCTGGATCCCCAAATTTCGAAAATGCCAATTCCCTAGATTCCCAAATTTCTAGACCAGAAAATCCCTAGATTACAAAATTTCTAAATCATAAAATCCCTAGATTCCGAAACTTTTTTGTCCCGAAATTTGTACACTCTGAAATTCCTCCACTTTCATATCCCTAGATCAAAAAATTTCTAACTAGCCAAATTCCTAAATTCCTAGGAATTTGGTAATACCTACATACTAATACTCATGGTTGTGATATTTTATCTACCTTCCCTTCCCTTCATGGGAAAACAGATTTGACGTTGAGTGTACCAGCGAGAGATCTCTATTCGGTGTACTCACCATAGAAACGACAGGAGGCGGAGGATTTCCGTTTCTAAGTGCACCGGTTTGCTGGTTCGCCGCGGGATTCAGATTGTCCTTGGATTGCTGCATGGGATCCGGCTGATGTAGCGTTTGTTGCGTTTGCTGTTGCGGTTGTTGTTGATGTTGCTGCAGTCCACCGATGCCAGCCTGTGGACTACCCAAGCCTGCAGGTGCGCTGTCCGGTGTACTGACTTGCCGTGCGATCTTTCGATAACTCTGTAACAGAAACGTTAATCTGCCATCAGAAATCAACCAACCGACCAACCAGTCACGTTCGCTGGAGGACACATTTACATTCGCGAACGGTGAACGTTCTCGAGCATGATCGTAATACGTGTAACGAACGGTTGCGTCATTTTCAATCGTGTCGGATATCGTTCAATTTTAATCGGATGAGAATGCACCGTAAAATCGTGTGCGTATCGCAGGCGGGACGCGATTGCAGTTCGTTTTAAACTGATCCATTTTTCTGTGCGGATAATGAAAGTACACGCCGCTCGACTATTCTGTCATGCTGCTTCAATGGTATCAATGTTATCGGTTTCGATAATTAATTCGATAGGAGTCAATTGTGGATTTATCGCGTTAGAATGGTATACCGATGTCATTACTAGATCCTATTGCTATTGCTGGTGGATATTAGAACACCGGATAATTCAGTATTCAAATTTCTAGCTTGATTTTGAAATTTACTTCTAGAAGCATATATTTTTGAATTTTCAACATGTATGTAATTCTAAAAATTATTTAAATTCCCTAGATTCTTCAAATTCCTTAAATCTACAAAATTTATTAATTACCTAAATTTGCTATATTCACACAATTATCATATTCTCCAAATTCCCTAGATTGGAAAAATTCAGCAGATTAGAAAAATTCCTTAGATCATACAAATTTCTCAGATTCTCAAAATACATCATATTCTACTAATTTTGAAAATTCCCCAGATTCATCAAATTCTAAAAATTCGCTAGATCACGAAATTCCCTAGATCATACAAATTTCACAGGTTCTCAAAGTCCATCATATTCTACAAATTTTTAAAATTCCCCAGATTCATCAAATTCTAAAAATTCGCTAGATCACGAAAATTCCCTAGAACATACAAATTTCACAGATTCTCAAAGTCCATCATATTCTACTAATTCTGAAAATTCCCCAGATTTCCAAATTCTAAAAATTCTCTAGATTACGAAAATTCCCTAGATCATACAAATTTCTCATATTTTGAAAATTCCTCAGATTCCACAAATTCCCAAAATTCCCCAGATTTCCCAAAGTCTAAAAGTTCTTCAGATTTAAAAAATTCCCTAGATCATACAACATCGAAATCCTCTGACTTAAAAATTTCTGGACATTCAAAAAAATGTGCACCAAAAATTCTCCAAATTCATAAATCTCCATATCCCTATCAGCTAATAAACTTCCTACATCAAACGATCTCGAAATAACAAGGTGCCATACTGATCCCTCTCTGTAAAGTAGTCGAGCTTCTCTAATTTCTAAAGCAACCTATCACGAACAAGTCGAGTTGTCTAATTCCGATCCACGTAAAGAAGCTTCTCCAGCGACAGCAAGTTGAATGACACGCGGTCGAGGAACAGTGAACCGCTTGATCTCGAGAGGAAAATGTCCCCCTGTAGATCACCCACGCATGTCGAGGGGACCGCGAGTGACGTGACGCGATAAAGAGGAGAATCGCTTTTGAAAGGAAGGAAGGAAAAGCAAGAACGAAGGAAGGAAGGAAGGAAGGAAGGATAGCGTGGAGTACGGTGGCCGGTCGTACGGCGGTGTGACCCCAATGCTAAAAATACCAAGGTAGCCTAACTAGGCCGAGCCAGCTGAAACGGTTTCCATAGTTGAACAAGCGTCGTTGCCCGAGAGTATAATCGGCTGCTTCCCTTTCCATCTCGCAAAAACTTCATCAATTATTACGACGCCTCTCGAGCGACGATATCGCACCGCTGTCGTTAAGCGTCGAGAGACCGGAATTATCGAACTGCTTCAAGACCTATTCTACACCGAATCTCGGTGTCTTTGCGGTTACGCACCGTTCAGTCTGAGTGCTTTCGAGTACTTTGCTCGTGATTTCGGTTGGCCAGGGAGGGTTATTTTGGATGGGAATCGGTGTATGGGGACCTTTTATGGTAGTTGGTCTTTTAGGAAGAGTTGAGATTTGTAATTCTTGAAATTATGAATGTTTGAGGTTTTGAGTATTGAGTTTTTAATTTTTTAACTTTCTGGTGGAGAATTTGAAAATTCTTACATTTCTAATTTTTAAATTCCAAATTCCCTATATCCCAATTTCCCCAGATCCCAAATTTCCTAGATTCCAAATTTCCTAGATTCCAAATTCCCTAGATCCCAATTTTCCCAGATCCCAAATCCTCTAAATTCCAAATTCCCCAAATCCCAAATTCCCCAAATTCCAGAATTCCCAAATTCCTAAACTCCCAAATTCCAAATTTCCCCAAATCCCAAATTCCCCAAATTTCAAATTTCCCCAAATCCCAAATTCCCCAAATCCCAAATTCCCCAAATCCCAAATTCCCCAAATCCCAAATTCCCCAAATCCCAAATTCCCCAAATCCCAAATTCCCCAAATCCCAAATTCCCCAAATCCCAAATTCCCTAGATTCCAAATTCCTTAGATTCCAAATTCCCCAAATCCTAAATTCCCTAGATCCCAATTTCCCCAGATCCCAAATTCCCTAGATCTCAATTTCTCCAAATTCCAAATTCCCCAAATCCCAAATTCCCCAAATTCGCCAAATCCCAAATTCCCCAATTCCCCAAATCCCCCAAATCCCAAATTCCCCAAATCTCAAATTCCCCAAATCCCAAATTCCCCAAATCCCAAATTCCCCAAATCCCAAATTCCCCAAATCCCAAATTCCCCAAATCCCAAATTCCCCAAATCCCAAATTCCCTAGATCCCAATTTCCCCAGATTCCAAATTCCCCAAATTCCAAATTCCCCAGATCCAAAATTCCCTAAATCCTAATTTCCCCAAATCCTAAATTCCCAGATCCAAAATTCCCCAGATACCAAATTCCCCAAATTCCAAATTCGCCAAACTTCCCAACTCCCCAATTTTCCAAATTTCCAAATTCCCTAAACTTCAAAACCTTAAATCTCCCAACCTCAATATCCCCAAAAACTAATATCACTAAAATCTGTCATTGTCACTGCAGTTTGTCGAAAGTTAAAAGAAAGTCAATGGACATATATCAATCCCTAATATGTTTTATAACTGGGGACACCTTAAATGGACGCCATTAACATAAATGTCGAGGACTATAATGGTCCATCCTTCGTTCCTTATCTTCATTTTTATCAAACACAGCAAATCATCCTTGACATCGGTCGAAACAGGGTACAGTGCTACAGAATGTTTTCTAAGAATCTCCTAATTGGAGGAAGCGCATTCGACAGCGATGACTCACGGGTTCAACATACTACAAGAAATCCTGATGCACCTTCTTTTTTCACGTCGTTCAGAGTCTTGCGAGCATTACTTCGACTCTTTTTAGTTTCAATCAGCTCAACATTTTTAATGAGCGGTAATAACCGTTGCTCCAATTAGGGAGTATTTAAAGTTTTTTACTTTTCGAGCTTTCAACATCTTAGGTTTTTTGAATTTTTATTTTTTTAAATTTTCATACTTTCAAATTTTGTGTTCTTGAAAGAAGAAGAGAATTTTGAAGAATGTAGTAATAGATGAATGAGTAATTTTTGTATAATAATAAATGAAAAAATTCCTGAGTATTTTTAAATTGTTTTCAAGATGTCATTTTTAGCGAACGATAAGCTTCGCAGATAAATAATTAATCATTACCAAGGTTCTGAATAGTTTGGGTAAAGCTTGTTATCGATTTATGGGATGCAAGATTTATTCAGTCGTTCAAGGTTCGTACGAACAGTATTAATATCTTGACGGCCGTGTGTATCATAGATTCATTTGAACCAACTTTAACACATCGATCAGCATAGTAGAAATATCTATGTTTAGCACGAAACATAATCCTGTAAATTATTAACGATACCAACCATTTATTTTTTAATATATTCAGTTCTCTATTTTCTCGATAGAACACGGTAAAATGGACAAACTTACAATTAAAAATTCACATATCTACGTTTCCAATTTTCTGAAACTAAAAATTAATGAAATTTCCACGATTCGTAAAATTTTTCCACATGTTCTGGATTTTAGATAATAATTTGGACTACGTAACCACAAAACTATCAGTACCGAAGCCCATAAAAGCAAACTGTCCCAAACGATCCTCTCCAATTTCCCCCACTAATCCGAAGCGAAAGACCTCCCCAGTCGTAACCGAAACCGAGTACCAAAAATAGACTCCAGCTTTCTATCTACATTCTTGTACATTTTGAAAACGGTAAATGACTAGAATACCGTTCATTTATCCACCGAGAGTAATATATGCGTAGTAAAGCCTCGGGTGCTCTAGATAGGCAGAAATCGAGGCACTAAAACAACTTTCAAGTTACCCAAATTTTGAAATTTTCCTATTGTCAAATTCCTACATCAACAAATTTCCGAATGAAAGTTCCATAGTGCCTGCACAAGAGTCTCTACCTAAATATGAAGACAAAACTGTGATGAAACAAAACCGACATATAACAAAACCGTCGTTTGACAAAACATCTAACGACAAAATAGTCGAATGAAACGGAATGAAGAAAATTCGAAAGAGCGTTCGCAGAGGGTCAGTTTCGTGTGAATTATTTCCGCGTTTGTCAGGGTGGCGTATCTCGTTGACGAGTAACGATCCTCGTGGTTCTAAAGAGGCTCTTGTTTATTCCTGTTGGTCGCAGGTTGCGGCAACCATGACGAGAGAGACCGGCCCGTCATAAATGTAAATTGAATTCCGTCGCATAAATTTCCCGGCCGGCTTGCCCAATAAATTCACGGTCCGATACAATCAGTAATATTCTGTAACATCGTCGTCGATCGGATTACGAAACTCTTTCCTTGTGCGAGCACGAACCTTGCGAATGCACTTTGCGCGAAGTACGATCGCGTACTTTCAATAACAAAATACTACGGATGGCTTCGAACTGACTTTTTTCGTTCTAGAAAGGCAAATACGATGTCTGAAATAGGATTTGGCAAATTTGGTAGTTTAGTGATTAGAGGATCTGGGAAGTTTTGGAATTTGGGATTTGGGGAATTTGGATTTGGGGACTTG